CTTGCAATAGTTGATGTTAATTAGTTTAGTGACGTAAAATGACAAAATATCAAAAAATACATTGGTTTTTTAATTAATGTTTTCAAAAAAAAGAAATCAAGAAAAATCGGCACTCTTTAATGAAGATGGAATTGCTTTCAAAGTATTGATAACAATATTAAGGTTATTGAAAATATAAAAATGAAATCCAATTCTTGGTAAAGACACAGACGTTAGGAATTATAAGTTACCGTCTAAAGTTTACGATCTGTTTTTGTTCGAATGGTTAAATCGTTTTTTTTTTAATCTTGATATTTCCTAATAGCTTCATATTTTTTTGGTTGAATAACGGGTCATTGTAAGGAACTAAAATGGAAAAAAACTTCAGAATTGATTTTACGAAACAATTTTGAACCATTACAAAGTATTTAATCGAACCTGGATTGGGATCTGGGATCTGGGAGTGTCAGGCGCTATGAAGACCTCTTCCTCCCTCCCACACTGATATTGGGATCCGTTTACCGTTAAATTAAGATCAACGTTAAATGTTAAACATCACATAATTGAGGGTTCTGAATTTATGTAAAGTCACTATCATAATTACATTAACCCTATCAGGGCCATGTTCATTTATGTTCAACGTTGAATATTTGCACCGTCACACTGTTTTAGACTTTAACTAAAGATCTCCCCTTCAATACATACATTGTGCGCGAAAGTGGGAAATTTGTTTTACTTACCGAGTAGAGGGCGCGGGTTGGTCTTATGGTAAAGCTTTGGGTTTCGGAGATTAGAACCGTGTAATACCTAAAAAAAATATTTCCCAAACTTTAAGCTTCGGGTGCGTTGTAGGAATGACAGTCAATTATTTTGCGTAGGTGGTAGAGTACTGTTGACTGTATGATCTCCCTCTGATAACTAGTTTAAATTGAAGGATGATGTTGACTGTATGATCTCCCTCTGATAACTAGTTTAAATTGAAGGATGACTGAAAATAACCTTCATAGTTTTGCCATAAATACAAATACAGTGTGAATGATATCTAATTAGAAATATTAATTTTTCTCTCAAAATATTTTATACAGTTGAACAGTTAACGTTTTAATTGCACTTATTACAATGGAGAATGTAGCTAACTCTGATTCATGGACGATCTCATATAGGGTTTAACATTCCTTTCAGAAAATAGCGCCACCTAGAGTTAAGAACACGTTGGGATTTACTAGTTGTTGTGTTGCATGAAAACAGTAAATTAAACTTAAGAATAATATAAGTATTTTGTCTTAAATATATCGTATGTTTTTTAACTGAAAGCATTAAACATGAATAAAAAAAACATTTGGAACCAGTGGCCTGGGACTTCTCTAATCTTGACGTCCCTGTAGTCGTTGGGGCACTGACAATGGTCCTGGTTGAAACGGTGTGTATTTAACTTAACCACATATCTGTACCTTAATTACTGGGTAAACCGAAACTTTATTTAAAAGTAAAAACTACCCTTTTTATCAGGTTCTGGTAGTTCAAAAAAATCCAAGTCTGGTGGTGATATTTTGTATCAAAACTCAGAGAAGAAGGAAAATGGAAACGGGTCTCCACTGGCTGAACCAGAAAGCAAGCCGATATACGAGAACAGGAAGTTTTATCTCAAAGGGCCCAAAGGGGTAAGCCAAATCAAAATGAACCATTAATAAAGAAATATATTAGTTGTTTTTATTAAAGCTTGTATTTTATGATAATAAAAATAGTCACGTAGAATATCTGCTTTTGTTGTGTTAACAGTTAATGATTTGAAGTTTTAAAAAAACATCCCATAATTTCGTAAAATGAATTCAGGTAATTAAATTCGAACTTCTAATACTACGTTTGTTTATTTGTCAACTTTAAATTTTTATTTCTAACCACATATTATCACATAAACTGAACAAAACCAATCAACTCATTATTTTTGGATGAACGTTTGTTTATATGTTTAACAATCTCTTGTTTTTTTAATTTTTAAAACATTAATAGTATAACTCTTACAGAAGCCTTTCCTGTGATAGCGCATGCGTATATTTCTCTGATTCTGACGTCTTTCAGACACTGCACTTATTTCACTTTCGTAATTAACCCAAAGATTACATTTCCTATTTGTGAAACCTTAAAAAAGTTTAATAATAATAGCAGTCTTTGGTGAATCACTGGAAATTTAATGAAGCCCGTAAACCTAATCAGTGTTAATTGACACAGTCTCTAATTAGGCCTAAAAGATAGCCTTATACTTACTATACTTCAATGTTATTAACCTATACAGATCAACACTTCAGGCTTTAGCCAAGTAACAAAATATTGTTATTATCATTTTAATTAAGTTTAATTATTTTCTGTTTCCAGTGGTGCTTCAGTATTTCCTGTTATATAACTATGCTGTAAAATATGTTTGAACCTTGAGTTCAAGAAGAGACATGCCTTTCAAATAAGATTCCATGATACGGAACAGATACATTGTTTAAATAGTTGTGTAATATATACGGTTTAGGCTTATAACAAAGGATCATTTTCTTTACTTATTCTCTGATATATATATGATCCAAAAATTGAAATTGGAAAATTCAACAAATATCAAATTAACTGTATACATATGGTCCAAAAATATTCATTTTTTAAAAGCAATGAAATTTCGGTTCGTATCTGTTTATCCAAGTTCATGCACGTAGCAAACAGCGGGGAAAAGGTTAGAGTAAACTATAATTCCTGAAAGACGCGTAACAATAACTGAAAAAAATGAGATCGTCATTAAGTATTTACTTATCTAAATTAACTATAGATTCGTACCATGCTTTATATATATATATATATATGTTGTAGGTTGGTTTATAAATTATATGTAGATATGGTTGTATCCTTAGGCCTTACAGTGGGTAGATAATGTAACTTTCTACATCCATATTGTAGCCTAACATTGTGGACTGTTACTGTATAGGGGAAATAATGTCATTAAACACAGAGAATTAGAGAAATGTACTTATCGTAAGTACTTGAAGCAACTTGGGATATTATTTTGGGCTTAAATTATTTAAATTACAATGTAAAAATGTCGATTCAGTTTTTCAGTAGATTTATGAGTTTAGTTGCAGTCTTAGGAGTAGGTTAATAATAATAATGTTAATTATATCATTAGTGTAGTTTATATTTTAGACACCCGGTGGCACAGCGGTAAGTCTTCGGACTTATAACACTAAAATTCGGGGTTCGATTGATACAGCAGCTAGCCCAATGTAGCTTTGCTGTAAATCGAATAAACAAATAAACAACGTAGTTTAACACCGTTTGGATCATTAGGGGATCCTAAATAATCATGAAAAGATTAGAGACACAACGTAGTTTAACACTGTTAGGATCATTAGGGGATCCTTAATATAAATGAAGCGATTAAAGACACAACGTACTTTAACACTGCTAGGATCATTAGGGGATCCTTAATGATCATGAAGCGATTAAAGACACAACGTAGTTTAACACTGTTAGGATCATTAGGGGATCCTTAATATAAATGAAGCGATTAAAGACACAACGTACTTTAACACTGTTAGGATCATTAGGGGATCATAAATAATACATGAAACAATTTCGTGGATCATGGTGAAGATCAACATATACTAGTACATTTGTCAAGTCTAATATATTTTTTCTTCTTCTTGTGTTCAATACCTCGATGATGGTATTCAACAAATTAACAGACAGAAGTTATATAAGCACAAGAACACTCAAAGATTAATTATTTTTTATAACCCCGTGTTGAGTATATATATTTGCATGTGTAGAAATAAGACGTTACCATGGTTATTACACTAACGTCCCGAGACATGCCTGAAGTGAATAAATTTGAATTGTTTACTAAATGTTCCTAATAGATTTGACGAGCATGTTAGATAATTTTGATTAACATGTTATATAATAATTCATAACATATTGTATTTGATGTGATTAACAAACTTTATTGTACTTGAATAACGTGTTACATTTTAGTAGTATCAAGTTGCCTCCGTATATGTTATTTTTAACATGCACGTTCACACGTGTCCTGTATCTCATTGCTTGCTTTGTTGTTAACTATACTTCGTTTCCAGAATCCTTCCTTACCTACTAATAACGAAGGTTTGGTCTTTGCTGATATGTCTTTGCCCAATAGACGTACAAACCCTGTCTTTAGGAAAAACATACCCACAAATTACACCACGTTGACGTTTGCCCAAGAAGGAGATGACGTGGATGAGCGTAAGTAATATCTAACAAAGATTTCGGTTGTCTTCTTACCCTCCATTACAGCACTTGAAATATATGGTTGGAGCCATATTAAGTATGATCATACACACTCATAATATTGTACAACATCCAGGTTTTGTTATTAGGTATGATCATACACACTGGGGACTAATATTGTACAACATCCAGGTTTTGTTATTAGGTATAATCATACACTCGGGACTAATATTGTACTACATCCAGGTTTTGTTATTAGGTGTAATCATACACACTCGGGATTAATATTGTACTACATCCAGGTTTTGTTATTAGGTGTAATCATACACAGGGAACTAATATTGTACAACATCCAGGTTTTGTTATTAGGTATAATCATACACTCGGGACTAATATTGTACAACATCCAGGTTTTGTTATTAGGTGTAATCATACACACTCGGGACTAATATTGTACAACATCCAGGTTTTGTTATTAGGTATGATCATACACACTCGGGACTAATATTGTACAACATCCAGGTTTTGTTATTAGGTATGATCATACACACTCGGGACTAATATTGTACGACATCCAGGTTTTGTTATTAGGTGTAATCATACACACTCGGGATTAATATTGTACTACATCCAGGTTTTGTTATTAGGTGTAATCATACACAGGGGACTAATATTGTACAACATCCAGGTTTTGTTATTAGGTGTAATCATACACATTGGACTAATATTGTACAACAGCCAGGTTTAGTTATTAAGTATGATTATACACACTCGAGACTAATATTGTACAACATCCAGGTTTTGTTATTAGGTGTAATCATACACTCGGGACTAATATTGTACAACATCCAGGTTTTGTTATTAGGTGTAATCATACACACTCGGGACTAATATTGTACA